TTATTCAAGTGAGAAGAGACAGGAAAGGGAAGTAGAAGATGAAGAATATGGAAAAGCGTCAGGTTTTAAATTTGAAAAGTCGATCGCCGATCGAACAATTCATGGGGAAGAATGGTGACATAGTCACCTCAAATTTTCTTAAAATTACGGCATTGAAGCATAACAAGAACGAAAAAGTACACCGCGAGTGCTCTGAGCAACCATTACACATTTCAGCCCAGAATGCTTTGTATGCAATTCAAATTGGCGGCCGCGGAAAATTTGAAGTGGCTGTAAAAACCTTTTTTTAGAAAACTATAAAAAGTTGGATTGCTTAGTGAGGCAGTTTTATTTCCAGATCTATTGAGAAGTGCATTTGGAACATTTTGAGCCTTATTTTTAAAAAGAGCGGAGGTTCCCTTTAAATGTGTGCTCGTTTATTTACCTTGTCCCTTCCAGCACAATCTCATAAGTAATTTAGACCTGAAACTTTGCTGTTATTCTAAAACTTTAGCTGTTTCAGTGTATTAAATCGAGTTTTTTCTCTCTGGCTGTCAATGGGCCTTCATTGTTTCCATGCGCTCGAATTTGCAGAAGGCGAAAAGAACCGCCGCACTACTTTTCTAACATTTTGTATTCTTTCTAATATGCATAATCCACAATCGGCTCGTGGAACAGCGAAGGTACAATTTGAAATTACCGTGTGATTGTGCTGAAAGTTTGACATTTTCCTATTAGGTAGTGTACCTAATTCCTTCGCTCTCATTTCTACTTATGTCATACTCCTGCATTCTTAAAGATAAGGCACACAGGCGTTAAAAAACCGAAGTAGTTTTTTTTTTGCTTCCAAGGTTTTCTTAACAATTCACGTCTTTGAGTGACCACATGTTACATGCCACATTTTCAAAAATCTTGAAATGCCGAACGCAAACAGAAACACAGAAGCATCCTGCAGTGTTTCAGTAGACTCTCTACAGCAAAAAAAATATTTTGCGGGTAACTATCGAACAGTTATTCATCACAAATACCGAGTGCAATTACGTTAATTTTTTATTTCAACTCTTCACTCTTTTTCGACTCAAGTACGCCGCGGTAAAAATTGATGGCTGCTGATCGAATGCGAGCAGCGAAGACTGTTTTAAGCAAGAGTCTTAATCGGTTTTTTCTTTCTCGGAAATTATAATTAAAATAGTATTTCTCAGTTTGGTATAAAAAAAAATGAGGAAAAATTGGCCCTCGAAGGTCTACCATATCCTTAAATTTGCAAACCTAGAATGCACCATCTGATTTTTTTTTGTTAATATGGTGACAACGTCATGCTCCCCTCATGATCAACAATGATGCATTTTTCTCTTTTCACTTGCATATATCCGTGAACTCGATACAGAGCTTCTTGGTGGATGTGTCCCTCCTTCTTTAAATTTGAATAAATATTAATAGCGGGAATAAGATGGAAAAGACATTAAACATTTTCGGTCTTTGTGGTAGCACTTTGCTCTGGTTATCGTTGAAATTTGAAAGTGTGCTAACCGCGAAAAATCTAGTAAAATTTGATATTAGATAACTCATAAACAATTATCATTCCTTGTGTATTAGAATAGGAACTGTCGACACAGTATCTTATTTTCTCGTTATCGGACAGGTTAATCCTACAAAACTTGGTTTCAGCCGGAGTTGGTTTTCCTCAAGGTCGTTACAGTTCCGTTTACTTTAATATTTTGGACTGGTTCCTTTTCCGTTCGTCAAGATGTAAATAGGCGAAAAAAGCTTTCGATAACGTTCCATTCACAACATTTACAAGAAGTTCTACACAACACGCGCACTCACCTTTCCCCCCGGTGTCTGACGCCATGTTGCAATAGTTGCGACCATCGTCATGTGTTCGCATAATCCAATCAGAAATGGACTTCTGATTTGAACAATGATCCGCGCTTTTTCAAAACGGATACGGTTGTCGGGTTCAATATTCAAACAATCAATCCATTATTGCACTCTTGAAACGGCTAGCGGGTTCCATGTTCAAATATTCAATTCGGTATTGCGCTCCTGAAACGATTAGCGGGTTCAATATTCAAATAATCAAATCATTAATGTAATCCTGAGGGGTACACTTCACTTAGTTTGACTGTAATGGTCTTTCTGGAAAAATTAGTTCACATGGTAGTTGGCAGCTGAGTTTATGCTTGTAGCTTCAATTTCCCTTTCATATGATCAAACTTAACACCAACCTTGCTCAGATAAGCGGAAACTTTTAATTGTATTTCTCATTTTATTTTGTAAGCTGCTCTGTTGTAATTACCATGGGTATATCAAAGCTGTGAATTCTCACCTAAATTTCCTATTTTTAATGGCATAAAGTTTATTGAATCGACTCTTTCATTTTCAACACATGAATATTTCAATATAAATCATTAAGCTTCAAAGAGACGTTTTCCCTTCCTATTCAAATATTGTCGATTTAGACAACAATAGAACCTCACCCTAGCTCAATACTTAAGTAAGCACTTTGTAAAGGTTTTCCGATTACATCCTCGATTACCATCTTGAATACGCTATAAAAGGTTATGTCAGTTGTTGGCCTGACCTAGAGTGAAGTTTACTGTGGAACCAAAAGATTGTCTCGTCCTTGACGTCCGTACACGCTCACTTGAAAAGGTCGCCTGTGCCAGGAAATCGTGACGAGTTTCCATTCTAGAAAGCCGAGTAGTCTCTACCGAATTATTTCCCCCCGTTTTGTACGTTTCCCGCGAAGTCTAGTTTCCCACGCCAAAATCTATCGTCACACGACTGCTTGTTAGGATTAGTTACTCTGGCTGTAATCACTTGGACTTCAATGCACATTGCAATTCGTTCTCCTCAGGCCTGAATGAACCTATTAGTCCTATTGTTCTCCAGAGGGGACTAGTGTTTTCACCGAAAACATAAGCGAGTTATGGTATCATGACACTGATGATGGTCTTCCGCTCAGTTTGTGAGAAAGACAGTTCTGTCAACGACTAGATTTCTTTCTAGGACGAGGTCTCACCCTGATGATCACTCCTCATTTATTCTTTAATAGTGCAAAACAAAACAAAAAAAAATCAAAACAAAACAAACAACAAAAAAAAAGCAACAATACTTACAAACCTACAAAGATATGTATTAAACAGACATGGAAATACTTTGAATGGAACGTACGCTAGAATCATTAAGGTGACTTTTCCTTCTTTAGGCCTACTCTGGGGCCTTAAGTCGCCGTAACTTTGGGCGACTTTGGGCGATTAAGGCGACTGCGACTTAAGCAAAATTGGCGATTTAATGCGATTTAAGGCGACTTAAGGCGACTTAAAGCGATTTTAATTGACTGAACTGATAAAATCAAAGTTAGCAAGAGTCTTTCCATAAACCTTAAAAATATATACAGAGTCCCTTGCAGTAAACACAATAGTCATTTTGGTTACTTTTGTATGCTCTTAAGTCACAATAGCGACTTAAGGCAACTTAAGGCGCCTTTATGCGACTTTAGGCGACTCAAGGAGACTTAAGGCAACTTAAGATCCCAGAGTAAGCCTTTCTTTCGCTCCATTCTTGATCAAAATGCACCTTTTTAGACCTCAGGAACCGGCAGAACCGGGCAGGAGCGATAAAGCTCAAAATCACCGATTTGACTCAAAGTTGGCGCAAATGCGAAACAGCATGACTTAACATATGTGTGAAAATAATAGGTTAAAATAGTTGATTCCCTGGGAGATCTAGTGTCCCCCTCTGGGAAAACCCCCTTTTCCTGCATTTTTTGCATAATTACTTAGGTAAATGTGCACGCTGGACAAACCGAAAAGCCATCTCCGTATTTCATCCACTGGGTTGTGTCTTATATCGATCAGGTTTCAAGAATATTGTACTGTTTTGACTTTTTCATTTCATTTCTTCCCTTTCATCTCCCTTAAGTAAAGACAACTTTTTCTGGGTATTTTAAGGCCCAATATCTCCGATACCCATCCACTTAACTTTTTTTTCCTACACGGATAGGGAAAGCCATCATTGGACTTTTAAAATCAGCAATAAAATTTTGGGGCAACTGATTTCATCACCCGTGCTGACGTGAAATTTACATCTAACTCCCGCTTTTTAGTCTGTATCATTAAAATCCCGTAAACCCCATCTTTCTTTTATTAACTTAAAAAAGCTTGAAATTTTTAAGAAATTTCTCAGTGAACATTAAGGGTACATGTAGTCGAACCTTTTGACCAAAGAAATCTAGGAAGAAACTTGATAATACGTACATGTCTCTGTGATGCCTTAGTTGCAAGTATTGGCTTGATAAAAATTTGAGAGATAAGTAGCCATACGTCAACACCATACCATGCTTAAACAAGATCTAAGCCTGCGTGAGCCCAAGCCTAGCATATAACCCAGCAATGCGTTGTTTGTTTATTCAAGTGTGACCTGTGCGATGCAGATTTTTTCGGGTACACAAAGGGCCACCTTCACATGCGCGTTGAGGGACACCGTCAAAAGGCGTCATCTATTAACAGGCATTATTCAAAAGAACATAACACTGCTGTTCCGAACAATTTCGTAGCACGCTTCAATGTAATCAAGAAATGCAGGAACAAGTTGGACTGCCTTGTTAATGAACTGCTGTGCATTCAAGATCTTAAACCAGCATTGAATTTCCAGTCGGATTCTCTTGGTGCTGTATTCATGTAATTAGCTTGGCACTTTTTTATGCAAATTCGCATCAACTTAGCCTCTTCACAAACCGTAAACTTGAAAACGGCGCAAGATGTATCGAAACGTCAGTTTCTATCACTTATATTTCATCTCTTATGTATTTTCAAATCGTTACTTAGCATTTTTGTCAAGTTTAAGCCGTATCGATGATTTGACCTTTATCGCCCCCTGCCCGGTTTTCTCTCGGACACGCTCTTAATTCTTCAGTTCAGCAACCTCTTTCGAGATGTGTTTCTTACAATCGAAGGAAAGATTTCCATATAACCCCATACATTAATTATGCATTCCATTTCATTAAGACTAAAATATAAAGGTTTCTTTGCAACAATGCATAATCAATGTATGGGGTTATATGGAAATCTTGCTCAATCGAAATATATCAAATTAATTTTCAGTATTGAAGGTGACCCTCTTAGCCAGTGAGTGGAGTTCATCGATGGGAGGCTTGTCTACCATCAACAGACAGCTTGCCATTCTTTTGGGAAAACGCGAGAAAGTGGACGTTACTTTCCTTGTCCCACACTTTGCCTGTTCTGAAGAAGAGAAGAGATCTGCAAGAAGGCAAAATGTTTCCATAAAAGAAGCGAAGAAACTCGCAGGCTTCAATGATCCTCTTGATTGGCTGAGTTTCCCACCGAGCGACCTCAATATTGACATTGTGGTGGGCCATGGAGCAAAGCTTGGAAAGCAAGCCCAAGTTATCAGAGCGTCTCATAATTGCAAGTGGATTCAAGTGGTGCACACTGCACCTGAAGAACTTGGAATACACAAGAGCTATTCTATGGCTATATCCATAGGGGAAGAGAAGAAGACAGCTGAAGTGGACTTGTGTAAGTTGGCAGATGCTGTTGCAGCGGTGGGACCAAAGTTGACAAAGGCTTACTCATCCTACCTGCGTTCATGTGAGAAGCACGAAGATATAATTCAACTGACGCCAAGCACGTTCGATGAGTTTTCCGACGTAAAGCAAGCCGCAAAAGAAATGGACGAGTTTAAGGTTTTGACGTTTGGCCGTGGTGATCCAGAAGACTTCAGCTAGAAAGGCTACGATATCTCTGCCAAGGCAATAGCTGAATTGAGCGACAGATCATTTTGTCTGATCTTTGTGGGTGCACCTGAAGGTAAACAGGATGAGGTTGCAGAAACACTGCTGAAAAGTGGAATTCGTAAAACTCAATTGACTGTGAGAAAGTTCGTGCAAAGCAAGAAAATTTTGAAAGAACTATTTTGTGAAGTGGACCTCTGTATTATGCCATCCAGAACAGAGGGGTTCGGTTTAACAGCTCTGGAGGCCATGTCTGCTGGTCTTCCTATTCTTGTCAGTAGCAACTCAGGATTTGGTGAAGCATTGTCCACTGTACCATTTGGAGAATCATTTGTGGTGGATTCCGAGCAGCCTAAGAAGTGGGCAAAGGCAATTGCTGGTGTCCGAAAGAAGAAGAGATCAGTTCGACTTCATGAGATTCATCAACTGAGAGCAGCTTACGCAGAGAAATTCAGCTGGGAGAGCCTGTGTACCATTCTTTTGGATAAGATGCGGAGATTAGTTAATGGTGAGAATATTTTGAATATCTTTGGAATGTCTTTGCTCTTGTTGTTGTTGTTTAATTTTTTGTAGCAACTGTGCTTTCAACCTCTTGATAAATCAAAAACTGTAAAAACCTTATTCCAAAAAGGTGTTAAACTCCAATGGTGATTAATGCTTTTACATTGTGTACAAATGAGACGTGTTTTCATGAATAACTCAGCTCTCTTAACCTGCAAACTCAAGACGTGCATAAACTAAGTTTCGGTTCTCTGAATTCCTATCAGCCGTGAATGACAGAGTTAACTAGTTCTTTTAAGTCATACTTGTAATTTTCACGGCATCTTAGCTTGGGTCCAGGACGAAGTGCTCCAAACCGGGATGTTTCGTTTCCTCTTTTAAACCAAGGCTCAGTTTTACTGGAAATTGTCGGTATTTTGAAGTCTTACCTTTTTTGTGTTAGTAAAGTTCATCCTTCCACTTGCATGATTGTTATTTTCCAGATGAATATTTTTTCGGTACTGAAGAGCCACAAGATAAAGTGAAAAAATCTCGTTTGTCAGGTTCTGTGGGGGTAATCGCTCAGCTTCAGCAGATGCAATTGGATGCAAGCAAAGTCGGTAGCAAGACAGACCTAACATCGGATTTGAAGAAAATTGCATCAGACAGGGGTTTCAAAATTTCTGACAATGAAGGATCAGGAAATTGCATGTTCTATGCTTTGTCAGATCAGCTGGAAATTGCCGAGGGAATCAAAATATACCATGACGAGCTAAGACAAATTTTGGTCCAGCACCTCAGCGAGAAGCCAAAGCTAGTAAGTTGATGTCTTAAACTCTATGGGACCTGCTGTCACTTTAAGAATGTGTAAAGATGAGACTATCTAGGTCAACTGACCAACAACATCAATATTCCTCTTGGCGATAATAAGAATCATAATAGTAGATCATAAATATTCCAAAATTACCTCATATTAGTTATCATTAAGTCGAATAGTGCATTCACGCGCACTGTTTGGCCGTTTCGGAAGAGATTAGCTAGTACTAGTAATGTGCTAAACTGTTCAAAGCCTCAAGATCCGCCTCTCCCTCCGGCAATCCGCGGGCTTTTGACGTCATCCCTGCCCTGGGCAGGGGATTTTGAACCCTGGCCAGCTGGGCTGTGGAATTTGAAGCGGCATTGTCAAGTCTTTCCAAAGGAATACGAGTATTATTTACTTGCTCAACAACTCCTTCAAACGTACTCTTTTCATTCCAGTCGACATCAACAATTCACTCTTAAGTTCCGTTCTTTACTTCACTTTTCTCACAGTCGGATGGAACAGATCTCTTTCGCTTCGTCTATGGACATCAATCATGGGCTGATTACTTGAGGCACATAGAACAAGATGGCGCTTGGGGTGACCATGTGATTCTATGTGCCGCAGCAAACCACTACAGAACTTCCATTCGTGTGGTGAGCAGTCTTCCTCGCATTAATGATGTTATGATCAAGCCACAATGTCCTGTTGACAAAAGTAAGAGCCTTGTGTTGGGACACATCCATGAGTTACACTATGTCAGCCTTCGACCCATACAAGGTACAGTTCTTTAGATTACAACAAGTAAATTAAGTGTGAGTTTCTAGTGATATTTCATGTATTTATCTATAACACCTTAATTCGGAGTTGACAAAAAGTGACGCTCATCCGAAGAACGATTCTTTTCCATTTTGGTGTACACTTTGTTAGTGAAAAGAGGTGCAAATTGGGAACATATGGATCACCACTCGTTTAGTATTCCAGTACTATGTCATTTCACCAAATAAGGTCATGAGATTGCACAAAATATTTAGACCTTATTCGATTGTTTAACGTATGAAACACGTGGTTACTTTGCGGGTTGCGTAATATTATAGAAGAATACGAACAATGAGCAAAATGTCCGCTCGTCTTATAATTATGTCAAACCATCGAATAAGGGATTTATCATTCCACTACTGTTACATTTTCTAGTATTTTTTCTCATCTAAACAACTTACCGATCACATAAGGCGAGCGTGAATGAAGAAAACAACACAAAAGAAACCATTTAAGTGTCCTTGATGACCATAGGAACACATTTACGGGCTTTGAAAAGTCGTTGCTGAGAAAAGTCATGTCTAAGAAATTAAGAAAAAATAAAGATCGCGTATATTGTTCCTGTCTGTATCTTTGCCCTTTTCCACAGTGAGGTTCTGTTGTCTGGGTTCTGGAGACAATGAATCCTAAGAACACGTCAGGTGACTGACATACGCTCCTTGACGTGGGGCTTACGAGCCTCCCACCATGATCGAAAAAAGCATACTGTTCACACAATTTTTCTGAAATTTCTGAAGGAAACTGCTCGTAATAAGGACGTCATTATCAAGTCAAAATATGAATTAAAGGACTACGTATGATATATATAAATCGTGAAACAGAGAAAGCCAATTACGCAATGGGTTATGTATAAAGATGACAAAAAAAGACAATAACAACGATATTTAAATATAAAGGATTACAATAAGTCGCTATCTATGAAAAAAAACTGTAAGTAAAAGTAAAACGTAAAAAAGAAGAAAAAAAGAATGAAAAACTCATCCAGGAAAACTTGACTGATATGAGACCTTTTCAACGTATTTTCTTGTGGAAGATATAGGAGATAGAGTTTTGATATTTGTTAGCTTGTAACCTGGGTAATTACCAACATCTTCTGTAAACCTCCACCCAAGCAAAGTACTTCTCACAGATTTCCCACGATGGCAAAGAGCTTTAGTTTACTACCGTTCCTGTAATGTCATCTTGCAAATAATTTTATGCGATCTTCCTCATTTAAGAAATTCATCATGTTGGCGGTTTGTTGCTCAAACTTTCCATTCATTTTCGTACCTTCAGCAACTGTGAATGGCGTAAAAGACGATATACAGGACTCCAGTGGCAATCCACCTCACCTCAATTTTAAGCTACCAGATCTAAGGGACCTTCCTACGTTAGACAGCTGCGGGAGCGATTTTGAACTTCCAGTGGACATCCTGCTTTTAACAGTGGAGGACTGTGAGTTCTTAGCATGTTTCCACTATCTCAATCAACCTTCAAGGAGATACCACAAAAGCACTGGGTATGTGTTCTACGGATCCATGGGACATGACCAGGAAAATAAATTGAAAACTGCTTTGGTCAAGTGTACCAGAGGTTCTTCAGTTCCTGATGGTTCTTTGATTGTTGTTAATGATGCAATTCGAGCTCTGGGACCCAAAGCTGTGTTTTCTGTTGGTACTTGCATTGGGTTGACTCCTAAGGAAACCAAGCTAGGAGACGTAGTTGTGTCTTCAAAGTTGACAACGTTTGCCCACAAAACTCCTGTAAGCAGGGATATTGGTAACCTTATCAAACATGCAGCTGATGGCTGGAGAGCACCCTTAAAAGACCCACAAGCTTGTAAAGTAAACGTGAAATGTGATGGTACTGTCTTAAGTATTCCACCGTCACAGGCTAGCAGTAAGAATATTCTTCAGAAATATTCTGAAGCAACTGCAGTGGAGGTGGAAGGTGAAGGTAAGACTTACATATTAAATACCACAACAACGTGTGGAGCAGTCTGAGGTATCCGTCAGTTCTGGCTACAGCTATAAACATGGCATTTTTAGCGAGGCGATATTATCGAGTTACAACCCTTCCCGAAATCATTGTGTTACGTCCTGGACCGACCTGAAAGGCCTAATAATGAGGATGAAGTACTTAAACCCTTCTTTCAGAAGAGGTTCAGGCTTTTGTATCACTTTAATAAGAGAAGGCGCTAGAATTGAGGACACAGCATCGAAAACACTAGTCTAGTTATCGCTTCTCTCCATCTTAGGGGTGTTTGCTGCAGCTCATCATCTGAAAACGGAATGGGTGGTTGTAAAAGGCATCAAATGCTATGCCAGCGAGAATCAGTCGTCAAGTTATGAGTGGGATGTATTCGCAAGTGTTATGGCAGCCTCTGTTGTGTCCAACATTTTGAGGAATCCAAGCGTATTCCAAGATTGGAGCCATTATAACGAAGGTAACTTTCCTCTAGTTCTCTCTTTTCCCTGAACGCTTCGAATTCCGTTTTCACCTACCTCGACAAAAAGAAAGGTTTTCGAACAACGCTTGTGCGTTAATCTAAGACAACAAGGACGTGTTTGCTTTTAAACCAATAGAGGACCAGTCAAAATATTGGTCATTTGTAGAGCAAACTAAGAATTTGGGACAAAGAAAAAACCACCATCCACTAACGAGTATCCGAGCCTCTGACTTTCCAATTCCACTGCCAAATGCCTTTGGAGAAATAAAATCTTGAGAAGCTAATGTAACATATATCAACATGCCACCGCCATGTTGGATTTATAACAACACGTGTTTTATTTAATGCTGTGCCTACAAGTGGTCAGAGTGTACATAAATGTGCTTAACATAAAAAGTTAACGCAAGCTTCACATAAAGGTCATTGTAACTGTAGACTGATTTGATAAATTCTTGTAGTAGGCAATAATATTCAACAATTATTCCATGTGGGTGCTCCAAATATGAAATGATAAATAACCAACGAGGTGCTAAGCACCAAGTTGGCTATAATAATCTCATATATAAATAACCAATGAGTTGCTAAGCACCAAGTTGGTTATAATAATCTCATATCTAGTAAACCTTAGTAGAATAATTGTTAAAATTAACTAGCTTTTAGTGTGGTTTTACAACAACGAGAAGACAAAAGCAGCCTCCATTGAAGTCTTATCTGCTAGTCTCCCCATTCTTGTGAGTAAAAACTCGGGACTCGCTGAAGCACGAAAGGAAGTGAAATTTTATAAATTTTACTGAATTTTGAGGATAGCAATGACTGGGAAAAAAATCAAAAGCAATAGCCAAATCTGAAAGAGTGAAAATTGCGACTTGAAGAGATTCGAAAACTACGCACATTCTGGAAAGCGTTTTACAGCTAGGAGAGTCAGTGTAAAGACTTTGTGGTGAAAATGTTAAACATGGTTTATGGTATACATGTGATATACGATTGTTTTTTGATTGCGTTTTCGGCAGGAAGGATGTATACAACGCATAATGGGAACGGATTATTCAGTCTGATTCTGCCTTAATGTTTTTTTTAGTGGTACATGGGAGTAACAACATCGATTGAGATTCAATTCACTTAAAAATCTTGTAAGGAACTATATCAAATCAATTTCTTTGGCAGCTTTTCAATTGCCCTTGACCTGCATTGAAAAATAAATCTCCCTTTCCAATCAGGATTGCATGAAATTCTCCATTGCTTTTTACTCTGATTCATTTCACGTTGTGTTTTGTTGTCCTAATTTACTTTCAGTCCTCAAAACTGCACTTGCAAGTCCACCGCCATTGTTTTTCCCTGTGGACTAGAATAACCTTTTTGATGTTGATTTGTCCTCCTTGTTGTCTAGCTCAACCTTTGCGTTTAAAATTGGAAGTGAAGACGAACACCAGATGGAACGCACCCATTAAGGTGGCCGTGGTTGTAGGCCTTTTAGCCGCTTTTATTTCTGTCCTACACCATACAGGGTGGATTGGTTCCTAAAGTGCTCTGCTGTATTGGATCATTGTGACATTTCAACTTACAAAGAAGTTGTAAAATGCAATTAAAATGTTTGATAATTTTGGTACTGAAATAATAAGTTGTAATAATAATAATAAAACAAAAATGAATATCAAATAAGTTGTAAAACGGAAATTAAAATCTCTGATAATTTTGGCAATGAAGATAATAAGCTAACTTCCAAGTGTAGAAATGAATGAATCACGTTGAACTTAAGATTTTCGAAAAGCTCTCATTTTTCTAGACCAATAGCTTGAGCAGCCTTTTTTAAGGAATTAGCTAGATAGATGTTGGTAGTCATTTTTCTCAAGAAGAACTAAAAAGGTGGAGAAAGCTGAGCTGTTAGCAGGAACAGGAGTAGTTAAAAGTCTCAGCATACCAATTTATAAGAAGAACTTAAGTTGGCTTAAAGACGTTTGCAACACTGTTTCTGCAATGAGGCGTTTACTTCGTACACTTCAACTCTGTATCGGTTGTTCTTAACGGATGGTCTTATCTTTGAAAAGCGTGTCTGATCTTGAATACCTACTTTGCCAGACAAGACACTGGAAAGTAAATAAAGAAATACGAGCCCGGTTACCGTTAGAATTTATTGCTTAAAGTTAGTTAACAAGGGTATAGGGGCATTTAACAAAGAGAATGCGTCCATTAATAGTCGTTGCGATTCCGCCTACCATCCTTACCTTCTTGATGGATTTGCGCGCTATGCATCAGCTCGCCGTCTTTCGTGTATATTTCCACACTCATGAGGTCTACCTCCACATCAGTACTTAATTTTAATCTCACAAAACTTCGCACTAATGCACGCTGAAGGTAAAATCTTTTAGAGAAACAGAGACTTTATGAAAGCTCCTGTGAGCTTGCAGTTGTGTTTGAAAGGGGTTGCATGATAGCATGCAGATTTGGCAATTAACTGCTGGTGTTACAATGCTATTGAAAATTATATTGTCCCTTTCAACTTGGCCATTCCATGAAAGCACTTGAGTTTATTAAAAAAGCCCACAAGAAGCTTATTTAAAAAGTTTGTAAACAAACGTAAAAACAGGCACAAGCTACAAATAAAGTTGTCCAAGGTTCAAACGTGTACGCTTGACCTTGCTTTCTTTTCGCTAACGCAATGACAGTTCTGACATATGACTTTGAAATGGCTTTCTGGTGCGTGCGCTCAGGATAAAAAACAAACAATATTATTGCTGTTTTCTTTTTTCTTATTTTCATGCGATTCAAGGAAAATTCACTATCTGACTCATGAATCTCGCGTAAAATTGCATTTGAAAACAGATATCGTGAGCACTTTAAAAAGGGAGACGAAAAAGAAAAAAAACCTAGAGAGATTTTTTTTAATCATAGTTTTCCCTCTCGATCATCTTAGGAATATACTGGGTTGTATAGTAATTGAATTACAATATGGTTACGTTTGGACATGGAAAAATAACTTAGGCGCAAGACTTGGGCTTTGTCCTTTTCCCCCGGAACCGCACTAATACGAGCTTACTGTGGGAGAGTAAAGGGAAACGGAAGTTACCGAGTATAAAGAGGTTTTCTTTCGTATGATAAATAGGGTCAGAAGCAGATATTTCCAAAAGGAGACTCACTGGAGGGCTTGTTCCCTACTCCATCAGCATTTATGGTAATGAAAACACAAAGCCTATATTGATTGAACAGTCAATTATGTTATAAAATCAAGTTTCTCACTAGGTCTTTTATTGTGGTGATTACCTTTCTCTGACAAAGACAGAAAATTAAAGCGAGTAGACACGGGTTAAAATAAATTCAAGTACATCATGCGATGTAGTCATGCCGTATTAACTGGAAATGCAGATTCACATTCATAATCTGACGACTTACAAATTAATCTTAATACACATTGCAGTTCTAGTTAAAAAGGTATTTATGCGTGTACTGGAAAAAGATTACATCAGTGTCCTAAGTTGTCTACTGATGAATCTTGTGATGCAATTAGCAATGAAAATTTCTCTAAGGTAACATTTCATAGAATACTTCGATGTTAGTAGGAGAAAACGTAATGGTGCCGGCAAAAAATGGACAGTTCTGATGTGAATATCCTGGGGAAGGGGTGTACCTGCATCCACAGTGGGCGAGGGAGTCAGTGTTGTTGACAGCGTCACTCACTATACGGATATCATAACCAAACGAGGGTCCTAATCCGAAACAGTTTCTCATAGCGCAGTGCAAATTTGTGCGTGGTGAGAGTTTTACAGGAGCGTATACATTGATGTTGTTGAGTGAGAAAATAAAGGCCTTACCGGCTGGAACGCAAGGGCATCTGTCGCCTGCAGCTAAAGCATACATTTTGAATTTAGGTCGACGACATTAGCATTAACCTAATATGAGAATTAAGTATTCTAAAGAGGTTATGAAAGTTTTAAAAGGTGCATTTTTCCGACTAAATAATGGTGAATCCGAAATGTCACAAGTTGAATTGTACGCCATTGTAGTGACCGAATTTCAATATAACTGGCTAAACCTGATGTTCCTTTTCTCTGTCACTGACAAAGGTGCCCAAAGGTTGGCTTTGACTACTGGAGGGACAACAGAATTAAAAAAAAATTAATTAGTTGCAGATAGTACGAGAATCCAATAGAGATCTTGGAAACGTCCTTGGCCATTCCTCCTCGACGGGTGGTCACACATAGACGTCTAGTGCAGTTTATTAGTTTGAGTACTTACCGTTCCAAAATAAATTGGTATTTCCACCAAAAATATGAGAATTGACTTGGATGATCGTCACGGTGGGTCCTTTTCCGTTGCAGTTGTTGTGAAATGTGGCTGCAGCTCATCCGTCTGTCTTGGCATGCCAGCATCTCACAAATAAACTACGCCTCGAATCCGTGAGAACTGGACTCAAATATGATACCAGCACTCCCAGATACTTATCACGTTCAAGACCACTCAGGATACTGGAAGCGATCAGAGCTGTTTATGAAATAAAAGTCAGTGACAATTGTGTTTAATACCTCCCTCCAACTTGGGGATAAAAACTATAAACAACTATTATTAATCCATGACGATAGATTCAGTTTGCGCCAGTCCACGATCATGTACCCCTTAGTTTTAAATTTGAAGCTTTACATTTCACCTTTTTTTTCTGTTTCAGAACATAAATTGAATTGTTGATGTGTTTTGTTTTTGCCATTTGTCTAGAAACTACTCATTGCAACATATTCGCCTTGCTTAGGCCTCCAATATGATTCACGAAAAAAGTGAAAAAAATCATTTCAACCAAATAACATATACAGTGCCAGACAAGAGCATGGTGATGCTAACCCTAATATCGATAGCGTTGAAGGCTCGCTTTGATTGGCTGTTCTTCGGATCAGACTCCGAATTTCCTTTGCTATTCACCTGCGATATGTTACGCCCCAAAATATTCTAATAGCTGCCGGTGTAGGTAAGTAAACACTAAAACAACTTTTAACCTAGTGTCAGTAACTCATGGTGGATATTTCACTCTCCATGGCTCAGTAAATAACCACCCCACCTTCGCTTCGCTGAAACGTTTTTAATTATCTTACAGCTGGCTGCGCCCATGCTCACCATGGAAATGAATCATTTAATACTAAGCTTTACACCATGATGTACTAAGCGTTCGTGTCTCTGATTGGACGAACGAGGTATTTTCACAGTCGCTAGCTTCCAATCTTTGAAATGCATCGTAAGTAAAAATCGTTCAAGCGCACTTTCTAAAGAAACCATGGTGCTGCGTCGGTGGGAGTAACAAGGTAATTTGGTAATATCAACTAAGTTGAAATTGTAAATTGGCCACCGTAAAGAGTTAAAAAACTGACGTTTTGAGCGTTAGCCCTTCGTCGCTTAGAACTAAGCCCCGAGCGAAATGCATCTGGCGAAGGGCTAACGCTCGAAACGTTAGCTATTTAACTCTTTACTGTTTCGCGTTTGCCGTGTACGTAAGATTTTCTTCACTTTTTCTCTTACAGAGTACGAGTCAGATGCCGGAAAAAAGGGCACCGAGACTATTCTTTGTAAGTCATACAAGGGCGCCTTCAAATCCACCAGGACACGAGCTCACCCGCGGCT